GTCTTGAATAATATATTTGGGAGAAAGAGCTATTGGATCACATCGGACTCTCCGCGCTTCTCTCGAATTATTAGAAATATGCTCACTCTCAAACCGGTTCTACAAAACTTTCTCCGGTGCGAGTTGGGAGATGGTAACCACGCCTCCTTTTGGTATGACTCTTGGACTCCATTAGGCCCTCTTATTGAATATATTGGTGAAATGGGTCCACGACAACTACGAGTCAGGAAAGATGCCCGAGTGATTGAGGCAACTCGGGATGGAGGCTGGAGAATGCCGGGAGCAAGGTCTGAGAGAACGCAAACCCTACTGCTCACTCTCACAACCGTAGGTCCTCCAACGGAGTCAAACGGTCATGACGTCTTCCTTTGGCGAAAGCAATCGGGTACGTTCTCAACAACATTCTATTCTAAGGAAACTTGGGCTCAATTGCGCAACCAATCTCCTAGAGTTCCTTGGTGTAAAATTGTTTGGAGCAAAGAAGCAGTTCCACGACATGCTTTCACGTGTTGGCTCGCTTTTAAGCTCCGATTACCGACAAGAGATCGACTTCGAAGATGGGGACTAAATGTTGCATCTACTTGTGTCCTTTGCCACTCGGGTATTGAGAATCATGAACATTTGTTCTTTGATTGTTCCTTCTCCAAGGAGGTTTGGTTACCTTTTGCTTCAAGAGTTTGGACTGCTCCACCTACGACNCTACAAGAAATATCANCNTGGATTCTCCAGCCACGACAACAACAGTCACCTCANGCACCNGTCATCATCAAATTAATTTTGCAGGCTGCAACCTATCTCCTTTGGCGTGAACGCAACTCACGCATCTTCACATCAGAACGAGCAACAGCAACAACAATCCAAGCTCGGCTAGATCGTATCACCCGAGACCGTCTTCTGTCATTCCCAGCGACTTCAACATCTACCTCATCTCTTCTTCTTTTCTATTTCACTTGTATTTCCTTTCCTTTTTAAGTTCTTTCTTCCCAAAACGCTCTCTAATAAGTTGT